TTTTTTTTTTTTTTGGTTTTTCGAGACAGGGTTTCTCTGTATAGCCCGGGCTGTCCTGGAACTCACTCTGTAGACCAGGCTGGCCTCGAACTCAGAAATTCGCCTGCCTCTGCCTCCCGTGTGCTGGGATTAAAGGCGTGCGCCACCACCGCCCGGCTTCAGACATGAATTTCTTAGAGAATACAAAAAAGAGATGAACAGGTTGGACCAAACAGCAGCAACTATCACTTTGTTCCTCAAGATTGCTCGGCATTAAAGACAGGTGTGACCTTAGGTAAGGCGATGAGGAAAGGTGTGCCAGGCAAAGGGCACTCACAAAGAATGTAGGTGTCCCAGTTTTGCCATCTGACAAAATAGACTTTGAAACTAGTTCAGTAGAAAGGAAAATCCCTTCATACTGGCCAAGGGAACAGCCCATCGGGACAGCAGCACAGCGGTAGTCGGGAACTTCAGTATGTTACTCTGACCAGTTGACAGACATCTGCAGTTTGGACCATCCAGACCCTGCAGAAGGTATATTCTTAGCCTATAGAACTAGTCCCTAAAGTAGAAGGTTTACTAAGACACAATGAATAGTCTTAGTAGTCCATGGAACTAGTACCTAAAATATACCAGTATATAAAATATACTAGGATACAAAGCAAGCCGTAACGATACAGAATTGAAATACTCTTATGTGTGCATTACAATGAGATAAGACTAGCCCTCAGCAGCAGGAGGAACGCTGGGGATTGGAGACATGATGTGATGCTGTGCATGGGTGGTCCAGGGACAGCCTGCTGGAGTCGGTCCTCCCCGGGGTGTGGGTTCCAGGGATGTGTGCCTGCTGAGCCATCTTACTAGCCCTGGCTCTTGTTTCCAAGTTGTGTGTGCTTTCAGTGATTGTCCCTGAAGGCCCAGCTCCTCCTCTGCTGTTTGTAAAGTAGCCATGAGCTGTGTTTGTCTTCCGCTGCTGAGCTTACTTGCTCCTCCGGCTGGAATGCTTCTGCCCTGCTTGCCTCCATGCCAAGCCTCAGAGCCTGAGCCACGCTGTCTTTCTGCCTGACGGCTGCCTGTCTTAGCAGGACTAGAGACTTTGCCTTTTCCACTCTATTTTATTTGCCCCAGTATGCTACAACATGCATGTAGGTCAGAGAACAACTGCAGAAGACAGTGCGCTCTCTCTCTTCTAGGCTTGCTGGCAGGCTCTTACCTGCTGATTCCTCTCGATGACCTTTTCTATCTACTTTTATATATTTATTTATTTTTGTTTGTTTGCTTGGTTTGGGTTTCTTTGTTTTGCTTTTTGAAACAGTCTCATTGTGACCCCGACTGGCCTGGAAACCACTATGTAGACCAGATTAGCCATGTAGAACTCAGAGATCTTCCTGCCTTTGCCTCTCCCAAGTGCTAGGATTGAAGGCATGTGCCATCACACTGGCTCTAACTTTTTATTTTCTTGATAAGGTATTGTTCCTAAGTCTTTATGTCTAAACTTTATGTCTAAAAGGTTCACTTTTTCAGTAATTTGGAGTAGCAGTAAGACAGGCTGTTAGGTGATCCTTGTGAGGCGAGCTTCACAGAGCTCACTGTGGTCTCCGTCATTAAGCAAGCCTTAGTGTTTCCTTTTTAAAATGAATGAATATTAAGGTTCTCTATTCATTGACTCACCCAGCACAAGCATTTCACTGAAGATATCCAGACACGGCAGTATCGGTCTTTGGAAGTCCTGATAGGATCTGGCTACAACACCCCTGCTGACATCTGGAGCACAGCATGCATGGTAAGCCCTGCTGCCTTCCCTGGCTGCTAATGCAGTACTTCAGCCGAGTGACACACAGTCACTCACTGGTGATGTGTCAGGAGCCGTGGGCAGGGCTGGGGTGAATTGAAAGCAGTCGCTGTGAGGCATTAATGTGCCTGGATTGGTAGATCACTGTTGTCCTCGAGCTCTTAGCCTTGGCCTGTTTGCAGACTGGGGACGCCACTGAAAGGCTGGTGTCTCTGCAATTAGGCCACTCCTCAAATGTCTTGGTCAGTCGGGTGAGAAGCCCAGGTACCAATGGATTCACAGGTCACTGCTCTATGCTGGGGCGTGTTAGTTCTTGACTTAGTTTCCCCTTGTTACATTCTCTGCTTTTCAGCATCAGACAGTGGCCATTGCTGTCTGTGCGCTTATGCTGTGAGCTTGAACTGAAGCTTTCTGTGCTCAGAAAGACCCTGACTGCCCAGACCAGACAGGTTGTGGACAGAGTCCCTCCACGAGTGCCTTTGCTTTACACAGTGGCCTTAGGCACTGGCTTTTCCAAGTCAACTCCTGCTCAACTGGCTATAAGCACCAGCTTGGTGTTTTGTTACCAAAGGTACAAATTCAGGGCCAAATGTAGAGAAGACAGCCTGGTGGAGGTGTGTGTCACACTTGCTGGACATGTCACCACCAGTGAAGGACCTTGTGTGTCAGGTTCACACACTTAGACTTTAATTGCTGTTTAATTAGTCCCAGCAGTAAGCAAAGAGAATTAAGGCTTATAGAGGAGAGGCGAGGACTTGCTATGCCTGGTGAGGCAGGAGGATTGCCAAGAATTGAAGACCACCCTTGGCTACAAAGTCAGGAAAGTCTGAGTGTAATCTGGAATGTAGATTACATTTCCAGCTATTTAGGATTTCAGCACAGGATGGGGCTGCTTGTCTCACAAGTGGTTTAGGTACAGACCACGACACCCACTGTGCCCTCTGCTGGCCACAGAGCAGAACTGAGCGCTGGAAAAGGACAGTGTCATCGAGCTACAGAGTATCATGGTGAAATCTAACTCATCTCAGATACCATTTTTTGGTGCCTAGAACAGTCGTACTTGTAGGCCCATGAGCTAGCTCTGGAAGGCACCTGACAGTCTGGCTCCAAACCCCGAGACACACATGGTGGGAAGACAGAACCAACTCCTAAAAGTTGCTGCCACCGTTGCACACAGAGAACTGATAAGAAGAATGCAGCTAAACATTTGTTTTAAGGAGCATCCTGACTCCTCCGAGGGCTGGACTGTATTATAGGAAGCAGTTAGCCACTGCCTGTTGGCTCCACTCTGCTTTGTGGTCTGTGCTCTCTTTTTCTTTGGCTGCTTTTACCCAGTGAGAGATCCCAGCATCGGTACTAACTGATGATGCGTGTTTCCTTTCCCCATTTTACTGTGTATAGCTCTCACTCAGGAGCAGTCGTAGAAGGTTTTCCAGCGGTCATCTAGGTTTGGAATCCAATAGCTTTGCGGCATCAGTCAGTTTCTCGGATGCTCTCATGTGCTGTCTTTCTTCCATAGGCCTTTGAACTGGCCACAGGGGACTATTTGTTTGAGCCTCATTCCGGGGAGGATTACACACGAGATGAAGGTGAGCCCCCTTTGCCAGCTGATTGTGTGTAGCTGTTTTGCTTTTCACTAACTGACATCGTTTGTCGGCCCCAAAGGCCTTTGGTATTCTTCTAGGTGTGCGTGAGACCCCCAAACAGGAGAAATGTGGCCTGTGTACAGCTAGGTGGGACAGTGATGTCATCCTAGCACTAAGGAAGCAGAGGCAGGAAGATTGCAGCAGGGTCATGACCAACCTTGGCTTCACACTGAGACCCTTTCTTAAAAAGCTAAAATAAATAAATAAGACAAGCTGTCTATATAAAGAAATAAATATGACAGTCTGTGTGTATATATGTGTATAAGTGTGACAGTCTGTACTAGGGGTCAGACAGGCCTGCAGGAGGCCATGTAGGATAAGACAGTAAAGACTGAGGGCGGAGCTGCTCAAGTGCCTGACTGACACACGTGAGCCCTGAGCCCAGCCCCGGCATTACTCACTCACACTCCTCAAAAGTGTGAGCTACAGAATGCACACAGTGTGCAGTTACATGGAGTAGGACTTTCTGCTACCAAACTGAAAGTTAACATGGATATGGAAGGTGACTTATGTCCTCAGTGACACCACAGTGTGGCTGAGTCTCCACGCTTAGGAAGCCTGCAGCCAGGCAGCACGCTTGTGTCCACGGGCTCCCTGAACACCGTGCTTTTATTTGTTCTCACTTTGCCCAGCTAATCCTTGAAGCTGTTCATGGAAAGCCTTGTTCACTGCCTCACTGTGACACTGCTGTCTCCCTTCTGTCTCTGCCCACCTGGCACGTGCTGCACTGCTGATAGGCAGGCTTCCAAGGCCCCTTGGCCACAGTTGGAAATGGTCACAGGACTTCTCGCTCACTCTCGGAGGTAGAAAAGCTCAGGGACACAATCTGAGGAAGCAGAGCCTCTCGCACCAGGGTTGACTGGATCTCTCTCTCTCTCTGGAGAGATCTCTGCCTGGAGCGGTGTGGAGGTGTTTGTCTTTGGAATCGACCCCGCACTAGATAGACCGTTCTTCCACTTGAGGTCAGAAAGCAGGCGTGCAGTGCCTTACAGAATGGTGTGCACTATGCTCTTTGTGCTGTGTCTAAGGCTGCTTTTGTTTTTCCCGCTCTGTTGTCTCCTGAAATATGTGCAGACCACATCGCTCTGATCATAGAACTGCTGGGGAAGGTGCCTCGCAAGCTCATCGTGGCGGGGAAATACTCCAAGGAGTTCTTCACCAAAAAAGGTAAAGCCACCTGTCTTCCCAGTCAGTAAAGGGATGAAATGTCTAAAAGGAAAAGGTAAGTCTCTCCGGGTCCTTGGTCCCTAGATCCTGCAGAAAGCAGGGGAGGACGCCCTAAACACCCTGTGGCTTAGCAGGTGCCACACAGCATAGGCTCATCAGCTCAGCCACACTGTTGGGTTGGGTTTGCTTTGCTTTTTGGTGGTTTCTTCAATTTGTTCCAGGCTGGCTTGGAATGTAAGCCCTCCTGCTGGTGGGTTAGAGGTATGTGTCCCACCCCTGCTTAAACCTGTGTTTGATTTTGTGTTTCTTACACATCAAAGATGAGACTGAAAGGGAAAACAAATCTCTCACGATGTAGAGAGCTGTCTGCTCTGCTGTGTATTGGGGCCTCACACCCTTTTTCTCAGCTGGTGACATACGCTGAGGAGCCTGAGCACGAGTCAGCCTTAGAAAAGTCAACACCTTGAGCAGGAAAATGGTAAAGTGCTCTTCTTCAGGGTTCTTTTTGTGTGCAAAGTCAATCACGGTGTGAGTGGAGTTCAATGGCCTGCGAAAAACATCCCCCAGGCACCTCAAGTGGAAGTTCTTAGGTTGCTTGGGGGAGCTGTTAGGAACCATCCAGGCAGGGAAGAGGGCCTAGACCCAGCTGCCTAAAAGGATTTCAAGGACAGTCTGGGCGACATAGTTCCCCAAGAAACTTGAGAGTGAAGGCACACCTCAGTGGTAGGAGGGTGTCTGTCTGGCTCACAAAGTCCAGTGGGTTCCCAGCACCATTTGTTGAAGGGAAAAGATGTGTTCCAAGGAATGGTTCAAGTGAGCATTCAGAGTGCCGCCACCGAGGCACCGAGGCCGGGATGCTGGCTGCGTGGGCGCCTTTGTATTTGTCATGCTTTTAGCTTTTATTTGTAAATCATTCCCTCATTTTGAGGCAGCATTTGCTAGAGTGTTGAGCTGTGGAAGGTTGAGCCGTTGTTTATAAGGTGATGCCTGGACACACCATGAGACTGTGGGGACTGTTTGAGCCTGTGCTGTCTCCCACAGGTGACCTGAAACACATTACCAAGTTGAAGCCTTGGGGTCTTCTGGAGGTCCTAGTGGAGAAGTATGAGTGGTCTCAGGAGGAGGCTGCCGGCTTCACGGACTTCCTGCTGCCCATGTTGGAGCTTATGCCCGAGAAGAGAGCCACTGCTGCCGAGTGTCTCCGGCATCCTTGGCTAAACTCCTAAGCCAGCCCTGCTGCCGCAGCACGGCTCATCAGATGGACCCTCCCTCTGGCCCACCCTCAGACTCCCCCCTCCTTTTTCAGGGCAAAGCTCTTTCTTTCAAGGGTTTCTATTTTTTTTTTTAATCCAACATGTTCATTTGGGTTTGCTTCCTTGATCCTGTGGAAATCCCCACAGCCATTGGGCATCCTAGGTGAATTTGGCCTTGGTTGGGCTCTGCCAAAGACTGAAAGTGTGAACAGCCTCACCCTCTGCCCTGCCATCTCATTAGGTTGTCAGTGCCCTTTCTAAGAAGAGCTGTGAAGATCGTGAGCCCACCCTCTTTATTCTCTGACTCTAAGAGTCACCTTTCTCGTGCACATCCCGCTGCCAGCACAAGGCCGAGGAGGGGAGGGGTGTGGATTCTTCTGTGAACAGCAGAGACATTAAAGGCGCTGTATCCAGGCTGCATCATCTTCCTGGATTCTTTCTGTGTTTTCTATGTTCACATTTTTTTTTTCCTGCGACTTTTATGCTACATTTTCGATGAGCATCCATTTTGGGCACCGTTTATCACCGTTCAAAGTGCTGTTGGATTCCTCTCATCTTCTCACAACTAAGTTCTGGAATCTTGAGTCTGGTTTTTAATGTAGACAAAATAGAACCAGTGAATTACAATTCCTGGGAGCCTCAGGTGTTGTGAAATAGTCCTGTTCTGTGTCCTGTGTTGCCCTAAGAACGGTCACTTTGGTCTGCTCCTGTTTGGTACACCCTCCTGGAGCCTTGCCTGTTCAGCTTGAGTGACGACTGTCTTGTAATGAGCTTTGGGGTGATCCAGACAGGAGGCGTGGGTTCCAAAGCTGTCTGGTTCAGGGGGTGTTCCCACATTCCAAGTCCTTCCCAGACAGCTCTCTGCTTCCATCCACAGCTTTCCTGCCTTGCCTAGAATTCTGGCCTTGACTCAGTTTCTCCATGTGGCTTTGCTGTTCTCATTTCTCAGAGACTCGGGGTCTTTGAGACCCTGGGTGAGCAACCAAGGGGAGTAGAGGATGGTGCTTTTCTCTGTTGGTTTTGACATTGATCATACTATGCTGCTATTTCCTTGTATAATGTAAGGTTTTAACATCGGTTTTGAGATGATTGACATGTGCTTCAGGCTTTTCTTACTGCAGAAGGCTTTGTGAGCTTTGATGTAGGCGTAGCCCTGCATAGACTTGATTACCTAAACATCACATGTTCCTGGGGTGAAGCACGCATCAGCAGGACAGGATTGGGGTCACGTGACAGCTGCGTGCAAATGTTAGTGAGGACCAAGTGGGTCTTGATTACAGCATGCTGTGGAAACAGCTCCGTTTTCTAACTTTGAGAAAGCCACGGAGTTGCAGGCCAGGGCTCTCCTAAGCAAGCTGAATGAAGCCCACCACTGCCTCCTTCCTTCCTGTATGGAAGACTCGGGAGTCACCTCGAGATTGGCTCACCAGCAAGCAGCTTCCTGTAACTCACCAACTTCACCTGAGGAACTGGCCAGTCATTCATTGGCTCTTGATTGGTTATCTGGAACCAGACATGTTTCTGTAGAAAGAATTTGAAGTCAGGCTATCTATGCACCTATCAAGAATAAAGAGAACAGAGGACATCACATAACGGCAGGGAAATCCTACAGCAGTTCTAATCCACTCTGGCTTGTCAACTCTATAGACATCTAAAGCAATAGCAGACCTACCTGAAACTGCTTCTCGGCAAATCTCAGTGGTGGGGTCATAGGAGTCCTAGTGACATTAAGGTAACCCAACCAAGAAACACAAGCCAACAGCAGGCCTGACTGAATCATTGACTCCACGGTAAATTTTAAGTGGGGGGAGAACCTGGAACTTCATTCTGGAAATAAGTCCCAAATAAGGGCTTTCCCCCTGCTGCTTGAGGAGCCAGAGAACCTGGGAAGAGTGGAAGGAGGCAGGGGCAGAAGCTGCCCTTCCACAGGCTCCTGAGCTTGGTGGAACAGTTGATGCCATAGAGGCCGGGTCTCACTGCTGGACTGCTGTTGGCTCCTGGTTAAGGATACGGCCCTGATATGTTTTTTATTCTTTCTACTGTGTGCGATGTTTGTGTCCTCACAAATGCAGATCAATAAACAGAGTATTTAATAACCTGCTTTGTTCCACAAGTTTGGTTTCTTTGTTGCCAAAGCAGTTAACTAAATATGCAGTGAAACAGTAACATAGGCACTCTTCCTTTTGTGGGGTTTATAATTTTGTTTCTCTAACTCTTAATTGTGGAATTAACATATTTTGAAAAATTGTAAGACAATTGTTTCCCCCATTCAGGAGCTGGGGATACCACACAATCACCACCCAAAAAGGCCAGGTGTGAGAATACAGAAGCACGGCAGCTTCTTGGGTGGGAGCAGGGTTTCTGGGGCTTGCTGGCCAGCCCTTCTTAGCTGAGTCTGTGGCGCTTAAAGTTCAGGGAAACCCTATCCCCCAGACAGTGAGGGCCACTAGTGCCAGTATGGCAGCCTCGCAAGTATGCACATGAGCCCACGTCCTTCCCACAGCAGCCCGTCCACGAGAAGAATCTCACTGCTTCTGTCTGTCTTACAGATGACTGGTCCACACAATGCCTCTGGCAGGATGGAGACAGTTCTGTGGGGTGTTTATTTACCCGGCTAACTTGCTCCTTGCACTGTGTTCAAATTCCTAAGAGATTAAGAACACCTCAGCAGCCAGGCGGTGGTGGCGCACGCCTTTAATCCCAGCACTTGGGAGGCAGAGGCAGGGGAATTTCTTGAGTTTGAGGACAGCCAGGGCTACACAGAGAAACCCTGTCTCGAAAAAAAATAAAAAGAATACCTTAGCAACCAAGGGAAGCATGGTTTTAAGGCCCCTGATGTCACCCAAGAAGGAGCAGGCTGTTCAGGGCAGCATTGAAGGGCCTGTTGTGATCTGTGCTGATGTCAAATCCGGGGCCCTGGGAACATACTAGGCCAGAACTCTCCCTCCGAGCTGTGTTCTCAACCTTGGTGGGGTTCCAGCTGTACCTGGTTATTCTCAAGAAAAGGGCATGTCTTTTAGCATGTTGGAATACTGGTGAAATCAAAATTTCTTACTGGTTTTATTGGCCGTTTACATTTATTATCTCTTCAAGCTTGAGTTTCTATTTTTTTGAGGGGGTATTGGAGAGATTTAAGACAGGGTCTTGCTATCTGACTGTCCCAAAACTCGCTCTGTAGACCAGCCTGGTTAGCCTAACCTCTGCCCCCAAGGGCTGGGATTAAAGGCCACTGCTCTTGGCTGTACTAGGCTGACTGGCTTTCTTTTTTTTTTCTTTCCTTTTTTTCTAAGTTCTTATTTGTTTGTTTTTCAAGACAGGGTTTCTCCGTATAGCCCAGGATGTCCTGGAACTCACTCTGTAGACAAGGCTAGCCTCGAACTCAGAAATCCACCTGCCTCTGCCTCCCAAGTGCTGGGATTAAAGGCGTGCGCCACCACTGCCCTCTAAGTTCTTATTTGTGTGTGTGTGCACACACGCTGAGGCACAAGTGTGAGGGTGGGGCAGGAGAGCAGCCATGGCTTCTAGGATTGAACTCCAAGGCTTTCGAGGCAGGCCTTCGACTCTTGAGCAGTTATGTCTACCATGGAGTGATTATTTTTTAATGCCTTGGTTAGGACTTGTTTTTTAATGACATTTTATTATTTGCTCCATGTAGTTGCCCATATTTTAATTTGACTTTCCATTTATATCTGTGGTGGTTTTAGCGTTAGTCACAGATAATCGTTTTTCAGGTACCGGTGAACTGCAGCACTCAAAAGCCTGGGCATGGCAACAGGCAGCTGTAATCCCAGCAGTAGAGAGGTAGAGACAGAAGTAGGGACAGCCAGAGCTACGTAGTGAGGCCCTGTGAATGAATGAACAAACGAAGGAGCATGAAGAGTTGCTGAGAGGAACACCATCCATGGTCTTCCGGTGTGTTTGTCTATTTACGTACACCCATTTACACATGTGCAAACAGCGCAGAGAGCCCCAAGTTCTTCCCTCCCTTTAGCTCATGGATTTGCCTGTAGATTGCGGTGGGGGATGGGTGGCCGGTCACTGGAGATTTGGTTAAGAAGACACGTGGCTTTTCCAGCGCTGCCTTGTTTGGCTTTGGACCATTCTGAGGAAGCAAGCTACCTGGGTGGTCGATGACAGGATGGTGACCATCGAGGAACTGAGGGCCCAGGCCCAGCAGGCTGTGAGCATCCTGCCTGCGGCTTTGCTGAGATAAGCCCCTGGCTTCTGAGGCTGTCACAGGAGTGGGCAGCTAGTAAGGGCTGAGAGAGCTCTGGAGATTTCTTGCCAAGTCCCCCAGGCCAAAACAGTTGCAGAGCTCTACCAGGTCGGATTTGTGTTGTTCAGAGGGATTTTTTAAAAATATTTTTTTTATATGAGCACACTGTAGGTGTCTTCAGACACCAAAAGGGGCCATCAGATCCCATTACAGATGGTTGTGAGCCACCATGTAGTTGCTGAGAATTGAACTGAAGACCACTGGAGGAGCAGCCAGTGCTCTTAACTGCTAAGCCATCTCTCCAGCCTGTTTAGAGGGATTTTGATCAATTTTTGAGACAGGGTCTCCAGTAGTTTAGGGTGGTCTCACTTGGAATTAAAGATGGCTTTGAAACTCCTAGTCACCCTGTCTCTACCAAATGCTAGGGTTCTAGGTATGTACCACCCTGCCTGAGTATGGGCTTTCACTTCTTTTCAGTGTTGGGGATCAGATCCAGGGCCTTGCACATGCTGGGCGGAGCCTCCTCCCCAGTCCTCCCTCTGCCTGTCTGCTCAGAGCTAATTGACTGGGTGACTTGGGCACCACAGTCTGTTCCCAAGTCCAAGGCCACCACAAAAGGCATATGCAACAGGGTAAGACAAGTATTAGTTTCACTGATTTTTTTAATTCTGCATACTTTGGAGGATGAATGATATTAGAGACATTGAGAATTTAAAGGCGAATCTGCGTAGACAGCTCTAAAAACTGTAATCATTGATGGTGAGGCTGGATTCTGTCTCCTTAAGATAGAACAAAAAGGCGGTTCTTGGGATTAGCCGACCTGCAGGTGTGCCGCACACCCAGGAGCTTCTTTGGGTCACCAAGGTATCATCATTGTGGAGAACTTGAGAGTAGAGTGGTTTCTGGCAACTTCTGACCTAGGAGTCCACCATGAGTGGCACACACACACCGTAAGGGAGGGTGCTGCGCTGAGGGCCTGGCTGTAAACTGAAAAATTGTATTAGCAAAAGAACATGGGTGTGGTCATTCCTCACTGAACTGCCTTCCCAGCACTCTGTCACCAGCCATTCAAGGATAGCTTGGACGCTCTCCCAAGCTTCTCTGAACTGCAGAGGAAGCAGCACCCTAGGTGGGTTGTCAAGGGGTGACTGTATCCCCTTCACCTGAGAGGGCAGCTCCCCTAAGTGGGGGAAGCCCAGTTCCTGTTTCTCGGGGTCATTAACAGCAAGGGAGTAGTGCTGCCATTTGCTACAGTGAACTGTCACCTAAACTGAGGCCAGCAGACAACCACCCATCTGTCAAGTTTCTCACAAAAGTGCCACGTAGCCCTGTGAAAATCTACTTTCATGTAAATGGCAAATTTCTGAAGCTAGGAGCTGGTTCCAGCTGGAGCACTGTGGGAAATGTGAAGTCAAATTGAGCTTAGCAATTTCCTGATCCTGGGTTCGGTCTCTGTTCTCTCCCCTTCTCTGAGCCACAGCTCGAGAGCAGGGAAGAGGCAGAGGGGCCCTGCTGAATCTCTGCTTCAGCCGCTTCTTCCCTGTTGGCTGAAGGCATAAGGCTCTCAGGCATCTAGGTGTGAACTCACAAACCTAATGTGCAGCAGAGAGGCCACCGAAACCAGGGTCTCTGGGTAAGCACCCTCCTGCCACTCAGCCCCTGAGTGTCTTCACGTGGGTCACTGCACTTCTATAGGAGCTGTATGCTACAGACAGTTGTCTGTGGGCAACGGGAGACAGGGCTTCTGCCCTGTGCTGAGACCCTGCCACAGGCCTGGAGGAGCCAAGAACAGGAAGCCGAAGGGAAATTTTCATCTCTGACAGATCCAAGTTCTAATTTTCCTTGCCACAGAAGTAATAGCCTGAAAAATGGAGAAAAGAGGAAGAAGAAAAAGAACAGAGGAGGAAGAGGAGGAGGCGGCTGTTGCTACATTATAAAATGACATTTTTAAAAGTCAACTAAAAAATACAGGGCCCAACAAGATGTCTCAGTATGTAAAACCCAAGTTCAATGCTGTGGACCCACATGGTAGAAGGAAAACACCAGCCAATCACACACACACACACACACACAATGTAAATTATATAGTTTTGTTTGTTTTTTGAGACAAGGTATTTCTGTGTGGGGGGGGGGGGGGGGGGGGGGGGGGGG